TTTGAGTCCACAGTGACCTCTGGATGTAGGTGAACTACAACTCCAAAACCAAAGGACACTGCCCACCAAATCTTTCCAGTGTGTTCTGTTGGTCATGCAAGTTTTGTGTGCCAAGTTAGGTTCAATTCCATCATTGGTGGAGTTCAGAATGCTCTTTGATTGTAGGTGAACTATAAATCTCAGCAACTACAACTCCCAAATGACAAAATCATTTTTTTTTTAGTGAAGGACATACATTGGGTTGTTAGTGGTATACTGTCCAAATTTGGTGTCAATTCCCCCAGTGGTTTTTGAGTCCTGTTAATCCCACAAACGAACATTACATTTTTATTTATATAGATGGAAATATGCAGCTTTTTTATGTTTCTCGTTATTCGCTGTCATGGAGAGAGGGATTGAGTCTTGGGCGAAGTTTTGGGTGAAAAGGAAGAGTGAAAGTGAGGGAAGCAGGGTGCTGCGGGTTCGAGAGGTGAGAGATGTGCCATGACACGCCAGGAAGGATCTTGCGCAAAGCAACGCTTTCTGAAACTTGTGGTTTTCGTTGGGGCTGTGGCAAAAAAGGTTCAGGTGACTTCTAGGGTTGTGGCTTTCCAGTTAACTGATGGTAGGATGAACCACTTGCAATCTATTCAAAGACTTGGGGAAAGTTTATGCATTGGGCATAGAAGGTCTTTGTGGCGGCTTTTGCTATGCACTCGTTGCTATTGTTATTAGTAACTTCGTTTTCGTCCCAAATAGGAACTCAAGACAGCTTGCAAGTTCGTATGATCTATATAAATAAAAATGTAATGTTCGTTTGTGATACCATCAGAACTCAAAAACCACTGGGGGAATTGACACTGAGAAGGCCCTGTCTCTTGTCCCCGCCAGGCGCGCTTGCGAGGATGGTGGGACCGAGAACAGGGCCGCTCCAGACGATTTTAACAATCTTGATGGTTCATAGGGGAGAATCCGTTCGGACAGGTAAACTGGGCCGGAGTCGTTTAGGGATTTATAGGTTAACACCAGCGCTTTGAATTGTGCTCGGAAGCTAATTGGCAGCCAGTGGAGCTGGCGCAACAGAAGAGTAGTATGCTCGCTGTACCCCGCTCCTGTTAGTAATCTGGCTGCCGCTCGTTGGACTAGTTGGAGCTTCCGGGCAGTCTTCAGAGGCAACCCCACGTAGAGAGCGTTGCAGTAGTCTATATGGGATGTAACCAGAGCGTGGACCACCGTGGCCAAGTCAGACTTCCCAACATATTTTCATATGTAAACATATGAAAATAGGGCACAAAGCCTTGATCAAATGATACACACCAAACTGACCAAGGCTTAACCCTTATTATCCAGTCTGGTGTCCTTGCCCTTAGCAAACTATAAGTTACTATCTCTTATGGGGGGTGGGGGGTCGTGTTCGACTTCACTACTGGACAGACGGAACTGTCTTTCGGGCTGCAAAGGTTGACAACAAGCTACACAAATTGGTCTGTTTTGGAAGGAATCCCAACAGGTGAGGCTTCTCAAACCAGGTGATCTTTCCTCCATAGATATCAAAAGCACAGGAGCCCTTTCCATCCAGGTTTCCTATGTGGAGTTGCAATATTTAAAAATGAGAGGGCTCCTGTGCATTTCTCCACATTGTGTTGTAGAAAGAATTCCAACAGGTAGGTCTTCTCAGGAAACCAGGTAACTTCTCCTTTGCAGCCATGAAAATCACATCCAGGTTTCCTATGTGGAGTTGCCATATTTAAAAACGAGAGGGCTCCTATGCATCTCCCCATATTGTGTGTGTGTGTGTGTGTTTTTTTTTTTACAGTATTTATATTCTGCCCTTCTCACCCTGCAGGGGACTCCGGATTACAATGTACACATACATGGTAAGCATACAATGCCATGGACACACAACACATATAGACAGTCGGAGCCCCTGGTGGCGCAGTGGGTTAAACCCCTGTGCTGGTAGACCTGAAGACCGACAAGTCACAGGTTCGAATCCGGGGAGAGGTGGATGAGCTCCCTCTATCAACTCCAGCTCCCCAAGCGGGGACATGAGGGAAGCCTCCCACAAGGATGATAAAAACATCAAATCATCCGGGCGTCCGCTGGGCAACGTCCTTGCAGACGGCCAATTCTCTCACACCAGAAGCAACTTGTAGTTTCCCAAGTCGCTCCTGACACGACAAAAAAAAAGAAGAGGCTATTTAATATTCCAACTTTTTCTGGCCACCAGGGGAGCTGTCGCTTCACCGTCCATCTGCGAAGTACTTCCTCATTCCCCGCATGCTTGCTGGAGATTTTTATGACCTCTTAAATTAGTTAAATTAGGCTTCCCACATAAGTGGTATCTAAATTTCCTACTGGACAGATGCTGCTGCCTTTCGGGCTGCAAAGGTTGACAACAAGCTACACAAATTGGTCTGTTTTGGAAGGAATTCCAACAGGTGAGGCTTCTCAAACCAGGTAACCTCTCCTCCATAGACATCAAAATCACAGGAGCCCATTCCATCCAGGTTTCCTATGTGAAGTTGCCATATTTAAAAATGAGAGGGCTCCTGTGCATTTCCCCACAATGTGTTTTGGAAGGAATTCCAACAGTTAGGGCTTCTCAGGAAACCAGGTAACTTCTCCTTCACAGCCATGAAAAGCACATCCATGCTTCCTATGTGGAGTTGCCATATTTAAAAATGAGAGGGCTCCTGTGCATCTCCCCATATTGTGTTTTGGAAGGAATCCCAACAGGTGAGCCTTCTTAAACCAGGTAACCTCTCCTCCATAGACATCAAAAGCACAGGAGCCCTTTCCATCCGGGTTTCTTATGTGGAGTTGCCATATTCGGAAACGAGGGGGCTCCTGTGCATCTCCCCACATTGTGTTTTGGAAGGTATTCCAACAGGTGAGGCTTCTCAAACCAGGTTACCTCTCCTTTGCAGCCATGAAAACCACAGGAGCCCTTTCCATCCAGATTTCCTATGTGGAGTTGCCATATTTGGAAACGAGGGGGCTCCTGTGCATCTCCCCATATTGTGTTTTGGAAGGAATTCCAACAGGTGAGGCTTCTCAAACCAGGTAAGCTCTCCTCCGTAGACATCAAAAGCACAGGAGCCCTTTCCATCTATGTTTCCCATGTGGAGTTGCCATATTCAGAAACGAGAGGGCGCCTGTGCATCTCCCCACATTGTGTTTTGGAAGGAATTCCAACAGGTGAGGCTTCTTAGGAAACCAGGTAACTTCTCCTTCACAGCCATGAAAAGCACATCCATGCTTCCTATGTGGAGTTGCCATATTTAAAAACGAGAGGGCTCCTGTGCATGTCCCCATATTGTGTTTTGGAAGGAATTCCAACAGGTGAAGCTTCTCAAACCAGGTAAGCTCTCCTCCATAGACATCAAAAGCACAGGAGCCCTTCCCATCCATATTTCCTATGTGGAGTTGCCATATTTAAAAACGGGAGGGCTCCTGTGTCTTTCAGCATTGCCAGAAGGCATGTCTACCTGTCCAAAAAAGAGAACCCCGCCCCTCACCTGCAGAAGCCCCTCCTCTCTTTGGCAGTCCTTGAGAGCAGAGGAGTCCCGCCTGGCGAGGAGCGTGGCCTCTCCTCCTCCTCCTCCGCTTCCTTCCTCTCTCCTTCCTCCTCCTCCTCTCCTGTCCCGGGACCGCCCTGGTCCCTCCTTTTCCTGTATGTCCGGAGCCTCCCCTCCTCAGTCAGTCGCCAGAGAGACTCCGAGGCTCCTCCATGGCTAGACGAAGCCTTCCTCCTCTCTTCTTCTTCCTCCTCTTCACCCCTCAAGCCTTGGTCGCACCTGGAGGAGGTAAGGCAGAAGGGGCTTCCTCGCCAGGAGGTCCCACGAAGCCCCACTCAGAGCTCCCTCTCTCTCTTGGCACCCACTTACTTAGGAGGAGATGCCCCTTCTTTGCCATTTCTCCCCAGGAAATTTCTCCCCCTCTCAGCCATCAGGAAACCCCCATTTGCTCAGAAGGGGACCTTAGGCTCCCTTTTGGGCCACTTTTGGGCCACTTTTTCCCCATGGAAAAAGTTGGTTCAAGACATGCTTGGCCAAAGGAGACTCTATTTCAGTGTTTCTCAACCTTCCTAATGCCGTGACCCCTTAATACAGTTCCTCATGTTGTGGTGACCCCCAAACATAGAATTATTTTTGTTGCTTCTTCACAACAGTAATTTTGCTACTCATGGCTGGAATCACTAGGTTCTTGTGGGTTTTTTCGGGCTATAGAGCCATGTTCTAGAGCCATTTCTCCTGACGTTTCGCCTGCATCTATGGCCTCACTTCCAGTTCCAGAGGTCCTCACTACCTCTGAGGATGCTTGCCATAGATGCAGGCGAAACGTCAGGAGAAATGCCTCTAGAACATGGCTATATAGCCCTAAAAAACCCACAAGAACCTAATTTTGCTACTGTTATGAATTGTAATGTAAATATATGATCTGCAGGATGTATTTTCATTCACTGGACCAAATTTGGCACAAATACCCAATACCATCACTCAAAAAAATTTTGATTTTGTCATTTGGGAGTTGTAGTTGCTGGGATTTATAGTTCACCTACAATCAAAGAGCATTCTGAACTTCACCAACGATGGAACTGAAACAAACTTGGCACACAGAACTCCCATGACCAACAGAAAATACTGGAAGGGTTTGGTGGGCATTGACCTGAGTTTGGAGTTGTAGTTCACCTACATCCAGAGAGCACTGTGGACTCAAACAATGATGGATCTGGACCAAACTTGGCACGAATACTCAATATGCCCAAATGTGAGCCCTGGTGGAGTTTGAGGAAAATAGACCTTGACATTTGGGAATTGTAGTTGCTGGGATTTATAGTTCACCTACAATCAAAGAGCCCCTTGAACCCCTCTCTCACACCAGAAGTGACTTGCAGTTTCTCAAGTCGTTCCTGACACGACAAAAAAAAAAATCATTATTGGCTTATATGGAAAGATATAGTCAATAGTAGTTGTTGTATTGGCTTATATGGGAAGATATAGTCGTAGTTGTTGTTGTTATCATTGGCTTATATGTTGGTGTATATGGAAAAATATAGCCATTATTATTATTGGCTTATATGGGAAGATATATGTTGGCTTATATGGATAAATATAGTCGTTAGTAGTTGTTGTATTGGCTTATATGGGAAGATATATGGGAAGATATATGTTGGTTTATATAGAAAAATATAGTCATTATTATTACTGGCTTATATTGGAAGATATATGTTGGCTTAAATGGGAAGATATAGTCATTATTATTATTGTTATTGTTATTATTATTATTATTATTATTGGCATATATGGGAAGATATATGTTAGTTTATATGTGAAGATATAGTCATTATTATTATTATTCTCTTCTCAAGGGTTGAGGCAAGATACAGCATAGTTAAAATACATCTATAAAGGCGTAGGACCATCAAAACATCTATATGAAAAGACATATTAAAATCATCCAGGCCACTTTTGAATTCATAGTTTACAACTGACTGAGGCATATAGGGCTTTCAAAGTCAAAACCAGCACTTTATGGATCAAAACCAGTTAATGATCATGGCTTAGTGTGATGCTAGACTTTGAAAGCCTTTTGGCACAAACAAGACGTCAAAGGTGGCAATGAAACCGTAGTTGCGCCTGATGGTGCAAGATCTGATAGTATGTGTATTTGTGTGTGCGGACACATAGGACATTTGTGTCTTTCCCTGATGAATAATATATTGATCCTAGTTGCACCATAGTGCATCGAGGTCACTAGGGTGAAAGCAACCTGGGCAAATGCCCAGAAATGAGGCTCAGCATTTGGAGAGCACTGTTTGCGAACCTGCCCCTCGAGCTGCATCAACACCGACAAATTAATGCAGATTGGCACCACTTTTGCTGCCTTAACTCCATGGTATTGTGTCCTAAGAGTTGTTGTTTGGCTTTGGAACTCTATGGCAGAGAAGACTTAATAAACTGATTTCATTAATACACTCCATCATGGACACATCCACACTGTAGAATAAATGCTGCTATGGTGGCACAGTGGGTTAAACCCCTGTGCCGGCAGGACTGAAGACCGACAGGTCGCAGGTTCGAATCCGGGGAAAGGCGGATGAGCTCCCTCTATCAGCTCCAGCTCCTCATGCGGGGACATGAGAGAAGCCTCCCACAAGGATGATAAAAACATCAAATCATCTGGGCGTCCCCCTGGGCAACGTCCTTGCAGACTGCCAATTCTCTAACACAAGAAGCGACTTGCAGTTTCTCAAGTTGCTCCTGACACGACTAAAAAAAAATAATGGGGTACTTGGAGTTGTAGTTTGGCAGGCTCTTGAGCCTTCCACGTGAAAGAGTGTGAACTATAAATCCCAGCACCCCATAGCATGTATCCACAGCAGTAAAAGTAGTGCCAAATTGAATTATTTCTGCAATATAGATGCACCATAAACAAGGCTTCCAGGGAAAAAGATGTTGCTATAAAGACAGGTGTGCAATCCAGCTGGGATCATATAAAATTGATTGCTGGTTTAAATTGAGTCCAGCATGGTCCATGCTGATACACTTGAAATGATCCATGCCGATTAGAGTTGTGCGTGGATCCCATTTTCCTTGGTTACATCCGTTTTTTCATTATTTTCGTTACCTTTGGGAGCACATAACAGGAAACCCCCTCCTGGTAGAAAAATCAGCTTGAAACGAAAGTATGGTAAGCAGAAGCCAATCTCCGCTCCTTGCCTGCTTTTTGTAAGCAGCCCCCTTGCTTTGAAAAGAGTGTGTGTGTATGGCGGGCAGGCTCAGAATGCACACCCCTGCAGGCAAGTGCCTCCTTTAGAGTAAGAAACAGAATTTGCCTTGCCTGCTTGCCTTGGAGAGTGTGTGTGGCATGCAGGCCCAGTGCATGCCTGTCTGCAGTGAAGCATTCCTCTTGTGTGAGAAACAGAACTTGCCTTGCCTCCTTGCCTTGGAGAGTGCATAGGTTGCATGCAGGCTCAGCGCGAGCCTGCCAGCAGCCGAGCGTCTCCTCTAGAGTAAGGAACATAACTTGCCTGCCTCCTTGCCTTGGAGAGTGCATGGGTTGCGTGCTGGCCCAGCACGTGCCTGCCTGCAGCCGAGCATCTCCTGTAGAGTAAGAAACAGAACTTGCCTTGCCTCCTTGCCTTGSAGAGTATGTGTGTTGTGTRCAGGCCCAACATGTGCCCTCCTGCAGTGAAGCATTCCTCTAGTGTAAGAAACAGAACTTGCTTTGCCTCCTTGCCTTGGAGAGTGCATGGGTTGCSTGCAGGTCCAGCGCGCGCCTGCCWGCAGCCRARCRTCTCCTCTAGAGTAAGAAACAGAACTTTCCTTGCCTCCTTGCCTTGGAGAGTATGTGTGTTGTGTGCTGGCTCAATGTGTGCCCTCCTGCAGTGAAGCATTCCTCTAGTGTAAGAAACAGAACTTGCCTTGCCTCCTTGCCTTGGAGAKTGCATGGGTTGCGTGCAGGCCCAGCACGTGCCTGCCTGCAGTGAAGCATTCCTCTAGTGCCTGCCTGCAGMCGAGTGTCTCCTCTAGAGTAAGAAACAGAACTTACCTTGCCTCCTTGCCTTGGAGAGTGTGTGTGTTGCGTGCAGGCCCAACATGTGCCTGCCTGCAGTGAAGCATTCCTCTAGTGTAAGAAACAGAACTTGCCTTGCCTCCTTGCCTTGGAGAGTGCATGGGTTGCGTGCAGGCCCAGTACGCAACCCATGAGATGCTCATCATATGGTCATGGAGCAGCCATCCAAAGGGGTGGCTGCTCCAGGAACTGAGCACCTCCTCTAGAGTAAGAAACAGAACTTGCCTTGCCTTCTTGCCTTGGTGAGTGCATGGGTTGCATGCAGGCCCAGCACTTACCTGTAGCTGAGCGTATCGTCAAGAGTAAGAAACAGAACTTGTCTTGCTGAGTATGTGTGTTGTGTACAGACCCAGCACGTGCCTGCCTGCAGCCAAGCATCTCCTCTAGAGTAAGAAACAGAACTTAGTTTGCCTCCTTGCCTTGGAGAGTGCATGGGTTGTGTGCAGGCCCAGCGCAAGCCTGCCTGCAGCCAAGCATCTCTTCTAGAGTAAGAAACAGAACTTGACTTGCCTCCTTTCCTTGGAGAGTACGTGTGTTGTGTGCAGGCCCAACACGTGCCTGCCTGCAGTGAAGCATTCCTCAAGTGTAAGAAACAGAATATGCCTTGCCTCCGTGCTTTGGAGAGTGCATGGATTGTGTGCAGGCCCAGCACGCAACCCATGAGATCCACATCATACGGTCATCTTAGTGCGGAGCAAAATCCAAAGGTGTGTGTGCCTGCCTACAGCCAAGCACCTCCTCTATAGTAAGAAACAGAACTTGCCTTGCCTCCTTGCCTTGGAGAGTACGTGTGTTGTGTACAGGCCCAGAAAGCACCCATGCCTGCCTGAGTAGAGAAACAGCCAAGAAGCCTCTTTAAAGCATGTGTCTACCTGCAGCTGAGCGCCTTTCCTCTAGAGTAGAATCAGCTTAAATGCAGGAAGGGGGGCCTGGGAAGTCCCCCCCTCCCCATAATGGCCGATAGGAAACATATCTTTCGGCACTCTAGAGCGAAAACAAGTATCTGCCCTCCTGATTTCATGTGGCTCCCTGAAAACAGACCGAAGGCTCCACCGAAAGCCAGGAGATGAAACGGGTCAAGGTTTACCCAGATTGCACAACCCTAATGCTGCTATACTTGAAATGGTCAATGCGATTTTCTGATCGAGTTTCCCTAAATGACTTAATTGCATAAATGGGGAAGGAAGGGGCTATTTCTTCACTGGAGTTGCTTCAGAGTAATGCAAAAGCAATATCCGATACTGCCAGATCTTCCGATTCTTGGAGATGGCTGAAAATGCAAAACAAGTATGACTGTATGCAGTGCTATGGCATGCCGCACCGTTTTGTTTCCATCCCTTGGGGCTTGGAGCTACATGCAAAAACATGAAGAATGCCTTCACTGAGTAAACTATTCTCAGACTTCCACACTTGGGCCTTTTCCAGGTTACTCTTTTGGATGTTCTTGTTGTATACTGGATGGTTGGAAAGACCGCAGCTCCGTGGCAAACATTTTGCAAGAGTTTGATCGTTTATATTTCCAGCTAAAGAGGATCTTGAGTAACCAAAGCCGGCAGAGAGACTGGATCTACACTGCCATATGAGACAATTTGAATCTGCATCCTAAGGTCTGTGTAGACCCATATAATGCAGTTATATTAACCATATAATCAGTGGCTCTCAACCTTCCTAATACCGTGACCCCTTAATACAGTTCCTCATGTTGTGGTGACCCCAAACCATAACATTATTTCCGTTGCTACTTCATAACGGTCATTTTCTACTGTTCTGAATCGTCATGTAAATATCCGATATGCAGGATGTATTTTCATTCACTGAACAAAATTTGGCACAAATACCCCATATGCCCACATCTGAATGCTGGTAGTGTTTGGGGTGGTGGTGGTGGTTACTGATTTTTTAAATTTGGGAGTTGTAGTTGCTGGGATTTATAGTTCACCTACAATCAAAGTGCATTCTCAACTCCACCAACGATTGAATTGAACCAAACATGGCATACAGAACTCTGATGACCAAGAGAAAACACTGAAAGGGTTTGGTGGGCATTGACCTTGAGTTTGGGAGTTGTAGTTCACCTATATCCTGAGAGCGCTATGGACTCAAACAATTATGGATCTGGACCAAACTTGGCATGGAAACTCAATATGGCCAAATGTGAACACTGGTGGAGTTTGGGGAAAATAGACATTGACATTCTGGAGTTGTATTTCTGGGATTTATAGTTCACCTACAATCGAAGAGCATTCTGAACCCCACCAACGACAGTATTGGCCCAAACTTCCCACACAGATGAAAATAGGAGCAAGTTATTTGCAGGGAGCTCATAAAGAAACACAGGATTGTGAAACTAAACTTCCCATTTTGGGGGGGAGGGGTGTACTTTAGTGACAGAAGCATTGAGTGGAGCAATAGTGTCATGTTGTGCACCTACTCGCCAAAGGCGCAGTGGAAGAGCCAGGTTTTAAGGTTCTTTTTTAACGTTTCTAGTGTAGGGGCTTTTCTGATCTCTCCAGGAAATGAGTTCCAGAGTCGGGGAGCCAAAGAGGAGAAGGCTCTCTCCCTGGTGCCCACAAGACGAGCCTCTGATGCATAGGAGCATCACTTCAATACTGTTGGTTTTTACTTCTTCCAGCACGCTGACATTTGTCTGCCTGTCTTCCCAAGACATTTACAAGGTTTTCGTGGCAGCGCTGATGGAATCGTTCCAAGAGTTGCATGTGATGTCTATAGACAGTCCACGTTTCACAAGCATAAAGCAGGGTTGGGAGGACAATAGCTTTATAACCAAGCACCTTGGTATCTCTACAGATGTCCCAGTCCTCAAACACTCTCTGCTACATTCAGAAAAATACTGCACTTGCAGAGCTCAGGTGGTGTGTATTTCAGTATCAATATTGGCTTTTGTGGAGAGGTGGCTGCCAAGGTAGTGGAAATGGTCAACATTTTCTAATGTTACACCATTAAGCTGTATTTCTGGCATTGCAGAGGAATTGGCTGCTGCCTCCTGGAAGAGCACTTTGGTTTTCTCAATGTTCAATGAGATGTCAAATGTCTCGTATGCTCAGAGGCGGCCCTAGGTAATTTTCAACAGTAAGCAAACAGTATTTTGCCCCCCCCCCCAACCAATCACTGATATATATTTTCTGTTCGTCATGGGAGTTCTGTGTGCCATATTTGGTTCAATTCCATCATTGGTGGAGTTCAGAATGCTCTTTGATTTTAGGTCAGTGTTTCTCAACCTGGGAGTCGGGACCCCTGGGGGGGTCACGATGGGGTGTTGGAGGGGTCACCAAAGACCACCGGGACCAGTATTTTCTGCTGGTCATGGGAGTTCTGTGTGGGAAGTCTGGCCCAATTCTGTCGTTGGTGGGGTTCAGAATGCTCTCTGATTGTAGGTGAACTATAAATCCCAGCAATTACAACTCCCAAATGTCAAGGTCTATTTTCCCCAAACTCCCAACAGTGTTCACATTTGGGCATATTGAGTATTCGTGCCAAGTTTAGTCCAGATCTATCATTGTTTGAGTCCACAGTGCTTTCTGGAGATAGGTGAACTACAACTCCCAAACTCAAGGCCAATGCTCACCTAACCCTTTCATTATTTTTTGCTGGTCATGGGCATTCTGTGTGCCAAGTTTGGGTCAATTCCATCTCTGGTGGAGTTCAGAATGTTCTTTGATTGTAGGTGAACTATAAATCCCAGCAACTACAACTCCCAAGGTCCAGAGAATGAAAATACATCCTGCCTATCAGATATTTACATGACGATTCATAACAGTAGCAAAATTCCAGTTATGAAGTAGCAACGGGTTGGGGGTCACCACAACATAAGGAACTATATAAAGGGGTCACGGCATTTGGAAGGTTGAGAACCACTGCTCTAGAACATGGCCATACAGCCCGAAAAAACCTACAACAACCCAGTGATTCCTGTCGTGGGAGTTCTGTGTGCCATATTTGGTTCAATTCCATCATTGGTTTAGTTCAGAATGCTCTTTGATTGTAGGTGAACTATACATCCCAGTAACTACAACTCGCATATGTCAAGGTCTATTTCCCCCAAGAGCGCCTCAAGAGCACCCCTGGGCAAAATCAACTATACTGCAAATGCTTACTTTGCGTAATGGGTTCATATGACAGGCTGAGCTTCTCATATGCTTCTGCGAATGTGTTTAGAATGGCTTGTAGGTCTCCTTCTGAATGTGCACAGATGACTTTGTCATCAGCATATTGGAGTTCTATAACAGACGTTGTTGTAACCTTGGTTTTGGCTTTTAGTCTGCTGAGGTTAAATAGCTTACCTCACCAAAATTAGGGCGTGCATTCAATTTGCGTCATATAGTAATCTTAGTGCTGAGCCAAAGCAAAATAGGAAGCTTTTTTAGGAACACCTGGAGCTCCTAATTGAAGGACGTCATCTCTAATGTAATTGCCATGATTCAATGATAGATTACCTAGTGTCGTGGAGTTCAAATTGCATTATATGGCAGTGTAGATTCAGCTTCGGTCTCCAAACCAGCCTTGATCTGAGCTGGATTCGGAAGGAAATCCATGGGAGCTACAAAACAAGGCTGCCAATTCCAAACTCTTTTCTTGGCCTTTTGTGTTTAAAATGTCACATAAACACATAATCCCCAGTTCCAGCCGTGAGTCACTCTTTGCCTCCGAAAGGGCCTCTGAGTCATCATCGATGTCGTCCTCCTCCCCTTCCTTTCTCGATCTTGGGAGGAGAGAGCATTCCCTGGCTTTGAAAGCCCTGCCTTCCCAGAAGAGGCCCTTCTACGAGTCAGATTGTTGTGGTACGTTGAACTATTGAGGCCAAGGTTCAGAGTGTAAATCCTCGCTTGGCCATAGACCCAGAGGAAGGCAAACATGGACACAACTTTCCAAGAAAACCCTTTAATCAGGTCACCATTGTTTGGCAACACCTTGAAGGCATATCACATTAGAATCCTAGCGTCAGAAGAGACTTCTGAAAGCCATCCAGTCCAACCTTTCAACGCTTCTGCTTGCTTTATCGGTGCCAAAGGAGGGTCCCCTCCTCAAATGCCTTCCTTTCTTCCACCAAGAACCTTTCTAACACCGTGA